CGACCAAATCTTGTTGTTGATACTGGCTGAGTGACGAAGATTTCCAGATTGGTTGTTTCAGGTTGATGAGTGAATGTGTTTCTCGCCTGCCTTCCTGATTCTCGCTCGATTTGACATCCTCGTCCGTTCTGACTTCCTGTAGTTGAGACAATGCTGCCTAGCTGGATAAGTGAATGAAGTAACTAACCTCCTTCAAACCCCTCCCGTTGATGGTGATTGACACTGGATGTTGTTGTCGATATTGTTGGTTGGTTGGTTATTTTCATCACCTCCGTCTTGTCTATGTTCACATGGAGTCATCTCTTCGCCAGCTGCTTCTTCGACCAGTTTGTCGGTCGATTTTCGCCTGTAAGTCTTCAATTTTGTTTGACATCAAACATAAATCATCCACGCGCGAAATCCAGGTCTTCTGGGCTCTTCACGTCGGTCAGTCCAGGATATCCCTGTGCCGTTTCTCGTTTCCCACTATCTGACGCATAATCCAGTCATATCATTGGTGATAGATAATAAGCACCCTTGTCTGACTCCTGTCTTTACCCCAAACGCCTCACTGAGTTTTCCCTTGTGGATCACTTGACATGTGTTGTTGTCGTACAGCTGTTGAATAAGGTTGATGAATATTTGGGGTACGCCGTAGTATTCGAGTAGTTTTCAAATCACTTCACGATCAACGCTGTCGAAGGCCCTTTCAAAGTCTATGCAGTTGAGGTAGAGGTTTGATTGCCATTCCATGCTTTGTTCTGTGATGATGATGTGTATAGTTGCAATTTGGTCAGTACATGATTTGGCTTTCCTGAATCCAGCTTGTTCTGATCGGAATTCTGTACCCTTTGATTCCTTTATTCTCTCCAGGATGATGCAACTCAGGATTTTACTTCGTGTCGATAGGAGCATGATTCCTACCCAGTTTTTGCAAAGTGCTAAGTCGCGAGAATATAATGTTGCACACTGTTTTTTTTAAATTGGTAACTTGACTACGTAGATGTTAACTCCAGGTGTCGAAATGTTTTTCAACCGGAAAATCCAAAAGTCAGTTAAAAGAAATGAAAGAAAACACCTCATTGGATTGTAGTATACTCGTGGTGACACATCGGTTTATAAAACTCTTTCGAAATGAGTACATTCGGCATACTATATCTATGGTTGGATTATGCGCCTGTGAACCCCACACCACCTGGTCACCAAAGAAAGTCAAAATATATATATATATATGTTAAGTTCCATAACATGATATCTTCTGAACTCAGGAGACGTTGTCTGACTTACGAAGACCTTCAAAATCCTCTTTGAGTTTCACTCATGCTTGTTAAAATGAAATGCAACCGGAACATAAATGATACACGAATATTACACCTAATGTAGTGTGTCCGAACCTGTGAATTCTAAAACGTGATCCATCCTAGACTGGTGACCAGGTTGCCTTTCACACAAAGAAAAATAGGTAGCTATTCAAGTATTCACTCATATGGATCGGTGGCTCAGTGGTTAGGACTCTCGCCGACCATGCACATGGTGGGGGTTCGACTCCCTGCCGTCGGCCTGCGAAATTTGGGCTACTGATATCACACGCTGAAAAGTCCATACTTGTATGAAAAATACGGTGTGGCATCAAGCTGTAATCAAAATAAATAAATAAATAAAATATACAGGACAATGATTACTCTACCGGCGATTGTCCACGATACTCTTCTTTCAATTGAACCAGTAGAGATAAATAATTTGACTGAAATAAGTAGAAACATCCGAAGCCTCAAGAGTCTCGTGAGTTTATTTCTTCATTTGCCGTCTCATAGACACATTGTCAAAATGGATTATGACTTCGTCAATCAATCCCTACCTCTTGATCTCTCCATTAGATAACCAAAATTTAGTATTATGATCTCATTAACACATATTTAGGATAGATAAAAATTGTTATTACACGCAAGTTTGTGCCTTAAAATCGGTTCATTGGCGTAATCGAATGCACCACTAATAATTAAATAGATTAGCTAGCCACTCTTTTGTGTTTTATACGAAAAAAAACCTCTCAAATCAATAGTGATCACTTACTAGACTATCAGAGCCATTCAGAAAAATCTTCTCAGTAATGTGGTAACTGCTTCACATAAAGACTTCGGTCGTTGATTTGAGTTATAAAGAAACTAATTACCTTGGTTTATGACTTTTGCGGAGATCTGGATTTCACAGATGATTTATGTTTAATGTCACACAAATTCCAGGACTTACAGGTGAATAAAACCAACAAACTGGCTGAAGAAGCAGGGAAGATAAGACTTCAAGTGAACGCAGGGAAGACGGAGGTTATGAAAATAACCAACAACAACCTACACCAGTCACGATCAATGGAACAAATCTGAAGGAAGTCAATTCTTCTACTTACCTAATTTAGGCAGTATTGTTTCAACCACAGGCAGCCAGAATGAAGTTGTCAAAGCCAGTCAGCAGAGGGGACGCCAGATAAACCTTCATCACTCTGAAGTCAGTGTGGAGATCTTCTGCATTTCACAGTATACAGAACAAAATTTGGATTTTCAACCCCAATATTAAGTTAGTCACTTCTTCTATAGGAGTCAGACATTCTGCCAGCATTTCCAACAGGCCGTTCCAGACTCCCATCGACATCTGCCTTCACTGAAGGTCAAATGATCAGAAAGAATCGGCAACAAGAAATTCATGGATCGGAGCAATCGAGTTCCCATTGATCAACAAATATGGCGAAGAAGATGGAGATAGATTAGTCATACGCTGAAGAGGCGGTAGGGTGACATCACGATTCAGGCTATCACTCGAGTGGAACTCGAATGGGAAATGACCAGTTGGGTCTGTATCCAAGGGTGACATGAATGAGATCGTGTGACGAGGAGGAGATGAGAGACTATAGGCGCCAGTGGACTCAGCTAAAGAGATAAGCAGAAAATAGGATGTGCTACTGAAGTCCTATGTCCCACTCGGAACCTAAGGGAACAATAACAATAAGGAACAGGAACTAACTACAAAGCTCTTTATTTCTAGTTTTGTTCTTATTAGAATAGAATGATTGTAAGCACATAAAATTTAATGTAATACAATCTAACTGAGGAACACGTTTGCATTCCCACAACAGGCTGGAAATCAACCATTTAAACACTATATCCCCAGTTGATTACTCAAATATCTTCAGTGAAGTTTCTTAAACGCTCCATTAATCACATCTGAAACTTTATGTTGAATCATGAACATCATGAACAGACAAAACCAAAATGCATGCAGTGCTACAGCTGAACTATTCTCCAGATTTCTCATCTTATTCGGGTCAACCAATCTAGATTTTGCTAGGTTTTCATGCACGGCTAGTCTGACTGATTGCCCCTGTTCTACTACTTTAACCTATATATTTGACCTCACAATCATTGCAGTCAGGCAGGTTATCAGATAAACTAAATTGCTTTGTTTTAAAGGCTGCACAAGATTGTTCCTTTAACCGACAAAGCTTGTTTCTAATTGAGTTTGTGGTTGGTTTGAATACCAGTCACTTTTATTCCTGCCTTGTTCAGAATTCTGTGTAAGGTGGTTTCTGAGGTTCCTTCCGTGTATAGAATTACTACTGATGATTTTGATTCCTTATGGTTGTTGTCTTGCGCATATTTGACATGCATGTCGTCATTAATATCACTAATATTATTATCACTATCACTAATATCATTAATTGTTTTATTTTTACATTTCCCTACATACTTTGTGATTAATTAATCGGGGTAATTATTAATTTTCAAGGCTTCTTTTATTTGTATTACTTCCTGTCTAAGATTTTCCTTGGTACTACTTAGTTTTTGTGCTCTGTCGTTTAAACATTTCACCAATCCTATTTCTACTGACACAGGATGGGATGATCGGAAGTCCGAATATCTGTTCGAATGTGTTGGTTTCCTACACACACTAGTGTTTAACTCCCCATTTTCTTTCCTTTCAGCGCTGTAATCTAACATTGACAGTGAGCTGAATTACCTCCATCTTTGAGTTAATGAATTCGAAAATTCTATCTATATCCTGTGTTCTAAGTACATTGAATGAGTCATCTACATACCTCCACCATACTTTTGGGGTAGGACTGAACGTTTCAAACGCTATGTTTTCCGCCTATCCATGAATATATCTGCTACAACTGAGGATATTGGTAATTCCATGGCAACCCCTTTAGTTTGTTTTTATATTTTCCCTTGAAATATAAATCCTGTGAAAGTTAGGCATAGCTGCACTCCCAGCATTATGTCTTCAAGTGGTACTTTTGTCCTAAGTTCGAGTTCTTGTTCAGAAATGAGTTCATTTCTGACTGCCTCCATAGCCATATTTATTGGTATACGTGTATATAAACTGACAATGTCAAAACTAACCATTTTCTCTTCGTTATCTATTTTCAAATTATTTAATCTATGTTTAAGTTCATTAGAATTTGTTAGTCTACGTTTTGAGTGTCTTTTAAGGGGATTAAAAAAATCAAGCTGTAATCAAGAAAATAAAACAATCTAGACTATTCTAGAAACGGCTTCATTCGGCATATAAGGTCCGCTGTGGATTTCTTAACCTTGTTCATAACGGTGTCTATTGATTTATTAATTTTCCCATATGGTCTTGTTTGTATGTGAGTATTCACCTTGTCCAAATAATCTGATTTGTTTAATACTACTGTTGCATCTCCTTTGTCTGACTTGGAAATTACTATATCCTTGTTATTCTTACGGTGTTTTAGGCCTTCAGTCTATGGGTTTGTCAGGTTAGTGCACATTGTGCACGGCTGACAAAGTACGGACACGACAAAAACGTGGAAAGCTAAAATGCAACAGCAACAATAACTGCATAACATAAATTTTACAAACTATGTTCGTTAAAACATCATATTGAACGAAAGATTAAAATTTCTTTTTCGGAAACAATTTTTATCTGCACAAAACGTGGTTTAATTGAAGTTCTTTTGATAAAGACTTTTAACAATAAATGAAACTGGATTTTACTCAGCTTGTGTAGGAATGATTTTGAAGTCAAAATAAAAAAAAAACAATTTTGCGGTCAAATAACCTACTTCCAATTTACAAAAATGAAACAGTTCACATTTAACATGCTAAGATCTCATCATTTAAAATAATGGCTAAAAAAGGAGATAACATTTACAAAGTGTTTCCATTATTTTTGACATGATTTGACCCAATTCATGTAGAAGAAAAACAAACAAACCGCGTGACACGTTCAAATGTTCAAATAAAGTGTCGCACAAATTCAAACAACTCAATTATCTAAGATAATTTGCATTCATTATTTTCAGGATTTATGATACAACTGTAGTGTTTGAACTCCCTGTAAATATTAAACAAATAAAAAAAAGTTATTTTAAGACGAAAACATGTGGTGATGTTATGTTAGCTGAATTAAAATCCAGTTTTAATAAAGAAGGAACGTGAAAATATAGTTGTGTTCAATTTAAGAATTTCAAAACACTGTCACTGGAATGTTTCAAAATATCTAAATCTTTAAACATAAATTTGGAATCGCCAATCTTTCATAGATGGTTGTTCTCTATATTCATGAAAAATTTCCATTCGAACAGTATTAGACAGAAGACCAGTAGTTCAGCAAAGAGTCTCTTTTCGGCGAATTCCTTTACGCAAGTGTACAATCGTAAACATATATGGTTATTTTGTATGTGTGTGTGTACATTAAATTTATCAAACGAAAATACAATTAGTAAGTATTTGGTTGAGTTACGCAATGCAAAAAGCGTCCAGAGGGATTGGATATTAATATAAAAGGGTTAGACGCGTATCCTGTCAAAAAGGGTCAGAGAAAACTATCCAGCGTGCCTGTAGTGGCCTTATAAGGAGTTCGATTATCGATCATCTCGTCACCACTGGTCATTCCATCTCAACCTGACGCCTCCTTCTTCAAAGTAATCTACAAAGTGAAGAACAACCTGCCAAAGACAATAGGTTTCCATCTTCTTTGCATTGCAGAAGCCCTAGCTATTCAGTTAGAAGAACCAGAACCATCCATACAGAAGAAAATTATTCAATCACTTCTACTATCATTATAATAACTCTGTTGATCTGACTTAATTTTGCTCGTTTACTTGTTTTTCTAACTACTCAAAACTCTTACTTAATTCCGTATTTTACTTTGTTTCCATGTACACCCTGAGCACAAATCACTCACATCAAACTATTTGTGTCATCACAATATTCTTCTTTAACAGTCGTTTGTGACAACTCATCACCCTCTTAAATAAACATTCAATTCCTCTGAACGGTTTTTGTATTACGTAACTCCATCAAAAACTTACTAACTGTATTTTCGTTTGAAATATTTAATATACACACACACGCATACAAAATAACCATATATATTTGCTACTGTACACTTGCGAAAATGAATTCGCCGAAAAGAGACTCTTCGTTGAACTACTGTTCTTGTTCCCGCCTATTATTCACCTGCTCTTGTGGGGCTAGGTTTGTAGTGGACAAAATGTTTGGAAAACCCCTCCTGGATGATTTTTTCGTAATATTTATACTTGTTTAGACATATCAACTATCTTTGCAATTTGTAAAATTTCAGAGAGATTGAAATGAGTAATTCCAACGTTTCGTTCGGCAATCTAGTCTGAACTTCTACAGGGAAATTAATTGAATTTAACATAACAGAGGTTTATATATATAAAAAGAGTATCTCTCGCTTTTAAAAACTTTGTCTAATCATAAGTCATGAAACAGGTATCAACATGTATAATAAACAAAATTGTGTGAGCTGTGATCAAAATTTGACCTCGGATTTACAAACATTCGTCTATAATGGAATTACGCATTTCAATCTCGCTGAGATTTTACAAATCTAATTTTTACAAATGTCTACTTCTCACTCGGCACCCAATAATTTTAGAACTATTCTGTCAAATCTTGACGAGAGTTCATATGGATAACTTTTCAATTGCTATATGTATCTCCCCTAGACTGTGCATCACTAATTCGACATTTGCATACCACACGTTGATTTTCATCTCCTTGTGGTTGTGTTTACATTGACGATGTGTTATTTAACGATTTGTGTTTGCTTGAGTTTGTTATGAAGGTCATTATGCCTTGAGAAGCCGCGGTGCGTGATCCTGATGAACATACCTCTTGATCTCACATCCTTGATTCTAAGGTACCTTCTACAATTGAACTTTGGTTAACAAATTATGTCTTGCAGCACTTGTTTATATTTAGAAACATACATTGGCTGCATTGCCGCCGGACGACATCGTTGAGGTAATTTTGAGTCTGGAGTAATTATTGTTTAATAGAAGCGATAATATATTGAAGAATAATCTTCTTTATTCCACGTTTAGAACGTTTCGCGGTAGTGTGGCTCAACAAAGTTTTGTTGGCTATACATTAGAGCGCAGAGATCAGTTTCTTGTGTTCAGACGATAATCGAGTCAATTTGGTATCTACAAGTTATGTCAGCCGTACCCAGCGTTTGCTATGCAAACGTATCATCAGATGCTTACCTTTACGCTTTCCTAAAGCAGAAAAAACAACTCCCTCCTTCACCTCAGAGTTTTGTCTTAGAACACCTCTTTGGGTCTAGACACCAAGCTAATCCACATGCCGACTTCAAAGGAGTCTACGGAATACCAGGGAATCTTGCTAAAAGAGTACGAATGAAACTTCTTCAAACACCAAAAGCAGTGAAAATTCACGTGTTAATTCTCTAAGTCTGCATACAGAAGATAATTGTTCATTCAATAAATCTACAACACTACACCACAGAAGCCACCACTCTTCTAGAGAAACTTCAATGCACAAAACATATAATAAAAATACAAGAAATTCAAATAACGGTATTATTCTTTGCTCGAATCGGACAAGCGAAATGACGCGGGCTGGTTACAGCCTCTGGGAAGCCAGTCAGCCAGGGGATGCGTCTTCTCTCGATGAAAGTAACGGTAAGAATGGGGACGTGGAATGTCCATACAATATACGAGGCTAGACTGGAAGGCTGTCCAGGTAGCCAAAGAGATGCGAAGATATGGCATAGATGTACTGGGTATCTGCGAAAGCAAATGGAATGGATGTGGATTGACAATATTGTCAGTGGGAGAGTCAATAATCTACTCCGGTCATCCAGACGACAACCACGAGCACACTGAGATAATGAGTGGCTATCATGATGTCACCAGTGGCACCCAAAGCCCTAATGCATTGGGAACCAATCTCCTTCTGCAGGATTGTGACAGCAAGATTCAACTCAAAAGGAAGGAAGGAAGGTCAAAATTATGCAATGCGATGTACGGTGCTACAAACAATGCAGAACAAGAGAAGAAGGAAGATTTCTAAAGACAACTACAAACAGCAGTGGACAACATCCCAAATGGTGACATCAAAAACCTTGTAGGCGACATGAGTGCCAGACTGGGAGAAGACAATACGAAAAGAGAACTAACCGTAGGTCAAGAGGCTGCCACTCTGCTAAATGAATGAGATTTGGTGATCGGAACGAGCGTGTATAAACACAAGGATATACACAATGCTATATCGATTTCGCCCGACGGAGATACCAAAAGGCACATAGATTTCATCTCAGTATTGCTCAAAGAAGTGGAGACTCAGTCAGTTTGCTGGGCACAAAGTCGAGAAGGGAAGCAGATGAAGGCTCAGACTATCATCTAGTTTAAGGAACCGTCAAGGTCAAGCTGAAATCTCTTAAAATGTAGACAGACCACTGTAATTCAAGTTCAACATTCGGAAATGGAAGGACAAAACTACAGGGGATACCTTCACTACAGATATCAGATCAAAGCAAAGTCGGAGACGCTACGTGTTATCAACGAGGAAACCTGAGTGGAAGAACATTGGAACTCTCTGCAGGCGATATTCAAGGAAACGTGTACAACTGTTCTAGGAAGAAAGAAGTGAGAAGACAAGGAATGGCTCTCAACGGACACCTAATTGGAAGCTAATAGAAGAGATGGAAGGAGGATGGTGAACAACAGAAGGAGAAGCTGAGTTCAATGTATACTGCACTGAATAAAGACAGAAGTGAAGAAGGGTGCAAGGAAATACAAAGACAATTCTACGACACACTGGTCGGCAACTGAAGCAGAACAGGCGAAATGGCTGCAGATAAAATAGGCCTTAAGAAATAATATCAGAAAACTAAGCTGCTCGTTATCCGGGAAGAGATCAGCTCAGAGATGAAACCAAAAAAGGTGCTCAAGGGAACCTAATCAGCAAGGAGGAGAAACAATGAGCTGATCACTTTAAAGGACTCTTGAATCGCCCATCACCTGCAACTCGCCCAAAAATACCACCACCACTAGCATGTGCAGAACTTCCTGTCAGTGGATACCAATCCTCCAAAGAAAGCAGATATCCTAAATGCGGTCGAGCTACTGAAATCCAGTCAGGAAGGCAGTAGGATCAGACGGAATCCTTCCACAGCACTGAAAACTGACCCAGAGACTTCATCAGATGTCCTCACGCCATTAATACAGAAGGTATGGAAGGATGGAAAACCACCTACCGACTGGAAGAAAGTCTGGTTACTTAGTCAAGCTGCTAGGAAACTTAAGCCTGCCTCTGCAAAGGGTGGCATGGAATAATGCTCTTGTCCACGCCGAATAAATTATAATTCGCATCATCCTGGAGAGAATAAAAGATGCACTGCGTACAGAACTCCGCTCACAGAAACAAGCTGGATTTGGGAAAGGCGAATCATGTTCTGAACACATTGCAACTCTACGCATCGTCATCACAGCACAAAGCGTAGAATGGCAGTCAAAACTCTCTCTATCTCAACTTCAATGACTTCAAAAAGGCCTTCGACAGCGTAGACCAAGAAGTAATTTGGAAACTACTTCAACACTACGGCGTACTTCAAGTCTGTCCACCTCATTCAACAGCTATATGACGATGCCACGTGTTAAGTGATCCACAACGGAAACTCAGTGAGGCCTATCACTGAAGTGAATAGAGGAGAAAGGCAAGGCTGCCCACTGCCATCGCCGATGATATTCTTAATTGTGGTGAACTATTTCATACTGCAGACTGTTGAGAGCGAGGAGTCAGGAATACGCTGGACGACCGATAAGAAGAATCTAGAACATGTGGATTTCGCAGATGATATATGTCCGTCACACAAACTGGAGGACTTACAGGAAGTAACAGAGGTTGCTTCCTGCCATCGTTTCAACTACAGGCAGCCAGAATGGATGAAGAAATCTAAGCCAGAATCGGAGAGACAAGATACGGACGCCTTCACCAACCTGAAACTAGTTTTCAAATCTTCCGTGCTCAGCATGAGGAAAAAGATACTCATTTTCAACAACACTGTCAAGTCAAATCTTCTATACGAGTCATAAACTTGGCATGTAACGAAAAGGATTTCCAACAGCCCATTGTAGACTTTTATCAACAGCCACCACCTTCGCCGGCTGGCTCCATACTGAAGATAAAATGGCTAAGAAGAATAAGCAGCAAGCAACTACGGGAACAAACCAATAGGCAAGAGCCGAATGCTCAACAAATATGTCAGAGAAAGTGAAGATGGGTCAGGCATACATTGAGGGGACCGCCGAATGACTTCGCCAGCCAGGCAATTACTCGAGTGGGTCTTTGGTGTGAGGTTGACATGGAGGAGAGATGAGAGAGCTTGGTCAATCGTGGACCCAGCAGAAGCCGACGGCATAAAACAGAACAAAGTGGAGATGTCTTGTTGAAGCTCTATGTTCCACTCGGAACCCAAGGAAATAATCACAATATTATTGATTATCCCTATTAGAAAGAATAAATATGTAAACAATTTTCATATCGCTTTTTCAGAATATTCTGCTCTAAAATGAAGTTAATGAAAATCAGTAGTATAACAGCATACAATAAAAACGAGAATATTATCTGTTCTGTGAATGCAACTTACGCTGGTTCATCAATACAACGATATGTGATATTCTTAGATGTTACTTTCTCTTCAAGTTTTTTAATGTTAGGTGATTCACAAGTGTGGCTGACAAAAGAAAAACAAGCATGAATGCGTCCTTATAACTTAAACGATGGGCAGTTTTAACATAATGTAAAATGCTTTGTAAAAGATTATTGTTTGTTATATTCCGAAACAGAACACACACAAGAGGCTAAGTAATTTACTTGCATTATCTGCTAATCACAAGTAAGAACTCAAGCCACCAACTTCAATTACTGTCTGAACACTTTAAGGCAAATGGAAAACTTAGTAGTTGGATGACAGCTTTGACTATCTTGCAGACAGACTGTAAGACAGAATGACAATAAACGATACTACTAAACATGTAGAGTTTTCATCATCCTTCCAAATAAATAAATCACTGATAAATATACATCATTAATAAATAATGAGGGTCCAAGTCTGAGAAACGTGGGTCGAACTAAATGGTGATTGAAGATACCAAAAGGAAAGAGAAACAGTAGTTGAAATTTACCATGAAAAATACTTGGCAATACACCCAAGCTAAGCGCTTGCAACACACTTCTGACTTTTTGCGATAGAATATACACCTGGAAGCCAATTTGTTAGACAATAACTTTAACAACAGCACTGTGGTAAGTAGTACTGAGGTAAAAGGACAAAAGCTTTAAGGAGTACTGCAATAATTTAGCAGTATTCACATACATGTATCCTTTCTTGGTATACTACACTACCATCATTATCATTCTACGGAATTAAGATACTGTTACATAATTTCACTAAGAAACAGAATGTGGAATACAGGTAAATTGACTCAATTAGAGTTTTTTCAATATTGCTTCTAAGTATAACAGTGGGAAGAGTGTTTGTTCCACATAGATCTGATATCCTCACAAATTATGCGACTGCTAACTGCAATCAGGTGTTGGGTAGTTAGTAGTTTGCGTTGGTGCAAGCATTAAGGCATAAATTACGGTCATTTGATAGAAATAATTAGATTCCCCTGGAAACAGATTAACAATCACTAACTTCCCAGAGGAAAAGGAATTTAGACACGTTTTGTTAATACCGTATATGTGGATTTTCCTAGTCTGTATTATTTCCCACTCTAACGATATACACAAAAAATAATGCGTTAGAGTGATATCTTATCTAAATGAACTTACTTATATTTCTGTTCGCCATGATTATGAATCACCTTCACAGTTATTTGTTGAACACGAGGATATGATAGCTGTGGTAGCTCAACACTTGCAAAGACACTTTTCAAAAGAAAGAAGGACAAGAAAAAATGACTAATTTATTTCAGAATAGTTTCATAAGTTTAAAGCAATCTGATTGGTAATTCACTTCAGCATTCAAGAACTCCAGTTCATACAAACAAAAAACAAACATTTGTGCAGAATAATATGTAAATATACATAGTATTCTGTGATAATCACAAGGCTCAACTCCTAATTATTCAAAACGTTTTGAAAGATAATGGTTTTCCTCAGAAATTCATCAAACCGTATGCCAGATCTGAAAATCTAAAGGTGGAATTAACCACAGTAAACACGAAACCTATCGTCATTTTCTTATTACTTCACGTTCTCAGTGGAACATAGTGCTTCCAGATAGAGGCATGAAGTTTCTATAGCAATGGAGAGAATCGAACAAGTCAACCTGGATGAAAAACTTCGATCGGAAGAGGATGGATTCAGAAGAAACAAGTCATGTATTGATCAAATCGCTACACTATGGATCATCATTGAACAAAGCTCGGAATGGCAGTTACCTCTCTATCACAACTTCATCGACTTTGAAAAGGCCTTCAGCAAACAGAGTCAATCGAGAGGTCATTCGGCAACTACTTCGCTACTACGGGGTCCCATCGACAATTATACATCTCATCCAACAGTTATACGACAATGCTGCATGCCAAGTAATCCACAACGGGAAACTTACGGAAGCCTTCGAAGTGAGGATGGGGGTGAGGCTAGGCTGTCTACTATCGCCAGTGATCTTCCTGATTGCAGTAGACTGGATAATGCGACAGAGAGCGGGTGACGAGGGAACAGGCATAAAATGGACCCTAACGAAAAACTTGGAGGATCTGGACTTCGCCGAAGATATATGTCTGATTTCCCACAAACTGGAAGATATGAAAGTGAAAAGCAACAATTTGGCAGAAGAAGCATCAAAGATGGAAAGGACATCAAGTGAACATAGATAAAACAGAGGTGATGAAGATTCCTGGCCAACACCAAAAGCAACAACAACATACAACAATCAGCATAAGTGGGAGAAATCTGAAAGCAGCAACGTCCTTCACCTACCTACTCTTGAAGGATAGACTCAACTACAGGCAGGCAGAAGTAATGACGTTATCCAAACAAGGATAGGAAAAGCAAGACAAGCTTTCATTACTCTCAAGTCTGTGTGGAGTTCAACAGCACTCATCATCAAATATAAGATCCGGATTTTCAACTCGAATGTAAAGTCAGTGCTACTATACGGATCAGAGACTTGGCGAGTCATAATCAGTACCTCAAACAAACTTCAGACCTTCATTAACAGCTATCTTCGCTTAATACGCAAGCTCAGATCGCCAGAAAAGATCAGCAATAGGTACGTCTGAGAGCGAACCAACCAGGAACCGACTGTGCAACAAATAGGCAGGAAAAAATGGAGATGGATTGGCCATAATCTGAGGAAACAAACTATTAAGTGACATCACACGCCAGGCTATTTCTCGAGTAGAATCCGAATGGGAAGCAGCGAGTTGGTCTTCTTAGTGAGGGTGGCATGAAGGAGGTCATGTAGAACAGAGGAGATGAAATCATGTGGGCAGACTTGGAGACAAGGAAAAACTCTAGCAGAGAACCGAACGCAGTGGAAACGCGCGGCTGAAGCCTTATGTTCCTCTAGGAATTAAAGGAAATCATAATAAGTATTATGTCTGAACTTTGACCTCCTTCAAAAGTTATACGTAATTAGAATGTCTGAACATCATTTATCAACATTTCAATGTGAACCGTGTTGGCGAGCAACCTAGTGGCATGGTGGCCACATTGCAAACCTGACTGACTGATAGAATTCAGTTTGCATTAAACAAAGGACGACACGCATCACACTGGTTACCAGTGTCCAACTGAAAACTAACATATGTCTTTGTTTACAAAAATCATGTTGATCCTTGCAGGTATGACGAAATTCCATGTACATTCAAGGTTGTAAGTAGTTGAAGATAATCCAACGACGAAAATAAATAAATGATGGTCTGTGCAAACATTTGTTATTGCTTTGTTTAAAATAACAAGGATGTCTGAACGAATGATATCATAAATGTCAGCCAGCAAACATCATGTTCATTTATTTCTCAATTCGAGCCTTATTCACAAGAAATATGATATTAGATTCCGGCAGTTAGTTTTAACATAAATATTCAAGCTACATACTTCTATTCTTCCAATTAAACTCCAAAAGCTCCTACACAAATGTACCTTAAACTTTGTGAAAATTAATGCCTTCAGATATTTTAATATTAAACCAGAATGACTAAGTGTTTTTATCATTCTAAATTAGAAGTGTTAGAGTAGGCTGAATAATTCACGCTTTTGTAATCATTCTGTTTTAGTGTCCCAAAATTAGTAAGTTGAATTGAATTTATTCACTTAAACGTCACAAAATAACGTAATTTCATGCATTCTAAAAACACTAGTTTACATGTATATTTTCAAAAATGTCTAAATAGAAGATTTACTGCAGCCATGCAGTCACTCAGTATTCGACAAACGTTTTTCCACCTCTGACTATGTGGTACTTTTGTGGTGAGAGCAGGCTGCTAGCCGACTGGTTGGCACTAATCTACGTTAAGGTCTAGGTCACTAATATGGGCCGTGAACAAGCCTGAGTCAACAACCAATCACAGCAAAGTTAACGTGGCAAAATATGATTCGCAGAGAGAACTCTATTTGTCAAGGAATCCCGAAACAACCAATCAGAAGCCTGCGTTTGTCTACCTAAACAACCAATCAGATGACTGCGCTTGTCTATAAGAATGTAGTTGAAAGATGTATAAATACGTGTTGATTTTCATAATAAAACGATCTGTTGCTTCGCCCTTGTCTTCTGTTGTTACATTTGGTGTCGCTGCCTACCGACAAATGAAAAGCCTATACCCTGCAGTTTTTGATGGAGACATATGGATCTTCGGGCAGGACTTCAAGGCTTCTGCGCAGTTGAGTGGCGTTCAAGATCTGTCAGCGATGGAGCTGCTACTTGAGACGCTGCTGGGAGGTCGGGCGAAAGCAGCATATGAAGGTGTGGGCCGAAGTATGGACGAATGTTCGACAGGGTCAGGCAAACAGTTTCCAAAGTGGGAAGGACCATATATGGTCACTTCGAGATGGGGTTACGCAGACACAGTCGCAATGGAGAACAATGAGAGGCGCGTGAACGTCAGCGAGCTCCAGAAATGGATACAGCGAGACAAGCCAACGATGACGCCTGCACCAAGTAGATCAAGCCGACTTCAGTCGCACGTATTTGACGGGGGGACGAGTGTGGTGAGAGCAGGCTGCTAGCCGATTGGTTGGCACTAATCTACGTTAAGGTCTAGGTCACTAATATGGGCCGTGAACAAGCCTGAGTCAACAACCAATCACAGCAAAGTTAACGTGGCAAAATATGATTCGCAGAGAGAACTCTATTTGTCAAGGAATCCCGAAACAACCAATCAGAAGCCTGCGTTTGTCTACCTAAACAACCAATCAGATGACTGCGCTTGTCTATAATAATGTAGTTGAAAGATGTATAAATACGTGTTGATTTTCATAATAAAACGATCTGTTGCTTCGCCCTTGTCTTCTGTTGTTACACTTTCAGTCTAAGCCACATATTTCTTATGTAATGATTTACTTTGCCAATAAACCGTCAATGAATTTTAGTAGTAAATCTATATTCGTATCAATGGTAACGTGCCTGACTGCCGACGGCACTGGATCACGTGGGTTCAAATCTCAGAAGGGACATGAGTTCCTTCAAGGTGACTGCAGATACTGCTGACTTGTGGGTGCCAACTAGCGCGAAACCTAAGTGAAGCAAGGCTTCCTAGCTTCACAATCGCCTTCAACCATATAATAACATTAAATCAGTGTGCACCGTAATGGCGAGGAAACTACTGGCATGGTATCCACATTACAAAGTTGGCTGATAGAATTCAGTCTGCACCAAAGAAAGGACTAGACACATCACACTAGTTACTAGTGTCCAATTATAATAATCTTATCAATATCACAGCCACATTTTGGTACCGAAAATGTGTAACATTAGCCTGGATGTTTCTGTCTTTGTCGTTTAGTATATGCGTCGGTGGTGCAGTGGTAGAACGCTCGCCAAATAAGCCTCATGAGGTCATGGGATTTATCTCTGGCCGATTCACTTCTAAACCTAGCTAGGCCGCTAGTAAGACCGATAAGAAGGAAAAGTTGGGTATGGAGCCGACAACCCGACCCCGCAAAAATAAGAACCACTTTTACCAGAACTTCAAAGCTCTTACTTGAAGTCCTATGCTCCACTTAAAACGTAAAGGAATAAACTTTTAAAAAGGAGTTCAGTGTAAAGGTAAGGAAAACTGAAAGATAAAAAAAGATACTGGTGAAATTCACAGTTGGTATTTCAAACCTACCCGCGTTCTCTAAAAGGATGTTCTACAGATCCATTCAGTACAACAACAACCTTGCCGGATGCTCTTTTAGCGTACTACAATGAAGAATAGATTGCAAAACATTTCAATCGTATTCAGTGAATATATACATATTGAAGATAGACGTAATTTAGATATGATAGAGAAGATTTGTAGCTCAGGTGGATGATTTTGATGTGGTTGTGTTCTCTGAGCTGGATCTCCAAATTCTACAGCAGACCCAAAATACACATGCCAAATATCCCGTTACTACCAATTGTATCACTCCTAGGAACTCCAACATATAATTTATCCAAAGAATTTTACCGAAAACTAAAACATTTAACGGAATCTTGTGATCACTCCATCAACTCTGCTATCCAATTCCTAGAGAAAATCAGAAGTATTTAAATAGATGAACAAGAAATAATGATATCCTTCGACGTCACAGCATCATATACCTCAATTGGACAGAAAATAGCAAAAAAACCATGGAGCAATTACTCAGCAACGGTGAACACCCACAACAATCAAAAATGCAACGCACAAGCTGGATGGAATGCATTAACCTATGCCTAACAACATACTTCCAATTCAACGACCAAATATATGAACAAGTCAAATGAACACCATGAGATCTCCAATATTAGGTTTGATTGCAGAAGCAGTTATGCAAGGCTCGAAAACATGATTCTACCAAAGATCAAACCCAAGATTTTGATACGTTACGTAGACGACACATTTGTAATAGACAAAAGAAACGAGTTGGATAAAACAACATCTTCAACGACATCAAATTCACAAGTGAAGAGGAATCCGAGAACAAAATACCATTTTTGGACGTCTTAGTCAGGCGAACAACTACAGGAGAATTAGAAACTCAAGTTTATAGGAAATCAACTCACACAGACCAAATCCGGAATTACAACAGCAACAATCCAATAACACACAAGAGGAATTGCATGCAAACACTATTCAAGAGGGCTAACCAGGAAACATTGCAGCACTCACACCTCTGGAAAAATTGAAGAAAGTTATCTCATGGGCCTCTCGCAAAAGAATGGATATCCACGGAACTTCATCAAGAGAAATATACCCTCAAGCCAACCTATCAAACCAAAAGCCCACAAGGAAAGCACAAAGAAAATCGCCCTACCATATATAAAGGATTTCTCACAAATCACTACAAGGCTCTTCAAACCTTTAGGAATTGACGTCGCACATAAACCAACGAAGTCACTTCACTCAGTTCTATATCAACCAAAAGACTCAACAGAGAAAGCAGATAAAACCAACATCATCTACAAAATAAATTGTAACAACTGGGAAAAACACTACATTGGTCAAAGTTGACGTCTCCTTCGTCTTCGTATCCACAAACATAAGCTAACCATCAAAAGACATGACATACACTCCCTTGCTCATATCACTACATACCGACAACCACGGGCATCAATTCGACTGAGACAACGTTCAAATATTAGACAGAGGAAAACCAAGAATTCTAGGGAATTATTAGAAGACTGGTATTCCAGGGAATCATCAATCAATAGACACATCGAGATAGACAAAATTTATCGACTGATAAGAAAGAAACTTCACTCACAAAGGTTCAAAGTTCAAGACAAATAAACAATCAGTTCCAATACAAGTAGCCCAGAAAGTGTGAAAACACACATAAACAACCAATCACGTCTAAGGTCACCGACCAGGAAAAATGATTAATAAACTCGTGGAGAAATCTAAAAGCTCACTTCGAATTGAATTATGGGCGTTGGAGATGTCGCCTAGTGGGGCGATCAAAACTTCACAAATGAAGTATCCAGCTCAGAGAACACAACCACATCAAAAAGGGATGTAATCTAAAATATGTAATAGTAATCTGTAATTTCATGTTACGATAATTTATACAATTTTCGATGAACGCTAACTCTGTCGATTAATACTGTACGCTATGTTAGTAAATAAAATATCGATTTCCTTTCATCTAACAAACTATGACTTTCTTGAATTGCTATATGAACCGACAAGCTAACACTGTTTTATTAGATTTTTTTGTCTTCTCCTCTCGACCACTACAATTTTAGGTAATTTTCAGAAGCCGATGAGGAGAACCTGTGAAATAGAATGTGTAATAATTTTATGCTGCATATTTGGTCTTTCTGCCTTTATCGAAATTTATCAAGGCAACGAAGTGTATGAGACAAGATTTCATCTATCAAGTTCAGCATTTTACTAGAGTAAAATTAAAATATACTCACTTCAGCAGATGCACTTCTCCAGAATGCATCTATCACTGTTTTATTACTGTCACAACCACAGGAGATTGTATCGTTCATATAACTCGTGAAACTACTGCTACACCAATCTAACTCATCGAACAGGAATCCTGTTAATAAAAGAAAATCAATTAAGTTTAATTAACATTTTGAATCATTCAATGAGTGTACCAATCATAAATGTAAAGCTATTTATCCATTTTTCAATATATTATTATTATTTCCATGGCTCCCTAAGTGGAAGAGAATATCTTCGTTTATCCTGTCCTCTGAAGTCCTCCTCAGCCACCTCAATGATTTCCCATAGTCTTTTATCACTTTAACACATGATCTTTTCCATGTCACCTTCGGAATCACTCCCAGGTCATCGTTTTCTACTCGAGTTTCACTCAAGCGACGGCATGATGTGCGATTTCAACCAACAGTCTTCTCAAAATTCGCCCGATCCATCTTCATTTTCTTCGCCATATTTGTTGGGCAACGGGTTCTTGCTTAGTTCGTTTCCAGAGCTCCATGTCACTGGCTTATCCTTTCTGGCCAACCATCTAAGCTTCAGTATGAAGTCAGGGAAGGCAGGTGTCGCTGAAAGTCTGAAGTACCCTGTCAAGAATGCTTATCGTGACGTGCTGGCCAAGTTTCTGACCCATATAGAAGAAGTGGTTGAATTAACATTGTTGTTTAAAATCTGAATTTTGTTCTTTGTGCTGAGCGAAGTAGATTTCTGTGCTGATTTCAGATTAATAAAGGTCTGTCTTGTCTTTCCGATGCTGACTGGTTTTGACATCTTCATGCTGGCCACCTGTGGTTGAAACAATGCTGCCTAAATTAGGCAAGTAAAAGAACCAATATCCTTGAAATGTCTTCTGTTGATCGTGATTGATGCTTGTTGTTGTTGTTGTTGCTGTTAGTTGGTTGGTTGGTTATCTTCATCACCTCTGTCTTCTCAATGTTTACTTGAGGTCCTGTCTTGGCTGCCTTCTTCTTCAGCCAGTTTGTTGGTTGTCACCTCTAAGTCTGGGAGTTTGTGTGAAATGAGAGATAAATCACCCACGAAATTCAGATCGGTCCAAAGCATTCCTATCTTCTTGCTGCCTAAGCTCATTATATGTCACATAATTCAATAGTATCTCTTAAAAAGAGATCTAAATCCCTATAGCTAAGAGCTTGTATTTAGATAAAGCAAATAAAAACAAGCACTTACACTCCCTAAAAGTATCGATGCGAATTCCTACGACAAAACATGTTTTAGCACTACCCACTGTCCTTACACTCCACTTATTGTTTCCTCTCATAGATCAAGGCGCTTCACTAGAATTTCGAGATTAAGCGTTTCTGTTATAAAGCCCTTGAAAATCAGGCTCAAAATGTCTAGGAATTATTAAGAAAGTCAGGTTTAACGGTCATTTAATAACTTTTGTACTTCTATCGTGTCGTACTAAAGTCATTGTTAGACTTGCTAGATTCGGTGGTCATATTGCAAACCTGGCTGACTGATAGAATTTAGTCTGTACCAGAGAAACGACTAGAAACACATCATATTAGTTACTTGTGTCCAATCAAAGAATCCACCACAGTCCTACAGGAGGTCAATCGAGAGCCCGAATAGCTCAGTCAGCACTGGGTGACGTGGGTTCAAATCTCAGAAGTGACATGAGTTCCTTCAAGGTGACTGCAGATACGCCTTGCTGACTGACGGAGTACCAACCAGCACGAAACCCAGGTTTCAGTAGGGCTTCCTTCCGACTGCTTCCAACTAAGTAATATCATCAGAGGTGGACATTGTTATTTTCCAGTTTTTAAATCCTATTAGATAAATTAAGCATATCAATCTAACTTAAGCGAAAAGTGCAATTACCTCCTTACATACTCAAAAGAAAAATATGGTTCTTTTCCAAACTGTTCAACGATAAATCAGTACAATCATTTTCTAAGTGTTGCGTCTTTGAAAAATAAATGTAACTTGGTGAATCATCTGATTGATAGAGCTGAATTAATCTGCTCAAATGACTTTTTGTCAATGAAGAATTTAAGATTATCAGAGAGTTACTCAGTAAAAGAAATTGCTTTACACATATAAATTCACCGGTAGAAATAATAATCTAAAGGCAAGATAATAACCCTTGTTCAGAAAACTGCAGTGTCTTGGTGATAACATCAGTGAAATAGTAATACATCCTGTGCAGGATGAAGTAATAAGGATGTTTAATGTATCAGAGACACAATGTCCCTCCACAACTAATCCATTTCTACTTTCGAAAAATAAGGATAAACTATCTAATCTCGCCTCCCCTATGTGTATCCACCAGTTTGATCGGTCTTCCGGAGCTATTTACATTTGGCGTACAATAAGACAGGTTCATCCTCGTATTTCCGAAGATCACTCTGCATGTTTAAGCTAGGGAAAAACAATATTTATATATTCGTAGCCTCATTTTAGCACATCTTGAAGATAGGGAGCACAACACTGATATTAATAAAGCATCCAAAGTTATTTATTACATTCCAAGAAATATTTACTTTGTTTTGCGAATTCGTCTTCAACAAACAGCTGAAACTTTCGGAAATCATCTGAAAAAGTCAGACTTGTGTGTTCAGAAGCAGTTCGTACAACCACTTTCCTAAATCTCGGCCACTGTTACATGAACGTTAGGAAAAAAACTGACAGTTCCGTCCATCACCTAAGCCTTTTATAAGTTAACATTGTCTTAATTATTTTACTTGTCTGACTCCACTCGAATCACCTATTGCGTGACCACCTTAAACACTCACTTATTACTTAATTACTCTATATCTTTTTCTAAATTATGCATTACGAAATCCGTTTGTGTAATTTTCACAATTATTTCTACCCTTTAATTGTTGTAATCATTTTGTTGGTTAATTATCAACTCCACCCTTCTGATATGTCGATAGTGACTAATTATTGTTAACAGACTTGTTACCACTAGATTGATAAATTCCCTTTGTAATGTATCATAAATTTAAAAACAATTAGTTCATTTTATGAATTTGGGCAAAGTAATAAGATGACGTCATTTGTCTGAATCGTTCAATGTTGCGCAACACATTTCGAACAATCTGAACACACACACGGACTTGTCATAGAAATATATATATATATGAGGAGTTAATAAAGAATTAAGGTAGTCTTAGTAAGGTGCCACTGAAGACACGCTTGATGAAGAAGAAAGAAAGTTGACACAAACTCTGGTTGATAACAATTATCCAGACAAGTTCATCACGAGATATAAAGTAGTCAGCAGAACACCAAGACACCCAATCTTCAACTCGCCTCTAAGAAATACGTGTAAGTCAAGCCACCCTATATGGGGCATCATAGTAGCTTGACAACTAGACAAAGACTGAACGCTGCTGTGGTTAAAAAGACTTTTACGCAGGTAAGATCATAATAATTGAGAATGTGAAGCCAATATATCCATCTAAACACTTTGAACATGCAAAAACTGATGTCACATCCCTCTGTATTTAACAATTCAAATGTACGCGTGAACACACATACACACACTCATAGAGAGAGGACTCATCGATCTCTTCAAGTTACGGCTGGCTTCAGAGCATATTCATAAATGTCTCCAGAAGTAAGTAGAATCCCTCGAACCCATTCATGGTGAGAACAGGAGACCTAGATCCTCTATTGTGAAACATATTATAGAGACAGGGCGTAAAATTGACGTTTACATGTCTTTTAGACCTATCTGTAGAATATGTTTGGGGCATATCCTAAAGTTTGTGGAAGCCTTAGCTAGAAATTATAAAGTTTAAACAACGCCTTGATGCGCTCAAAGCGACAGTTCGTCATCTTTCTTGGTAAACTTTGTTTTGTTACCTCTGTTATTTGGTTTAATGATCTTCATTGTTATTTTGACCTTCAACGTGTCTCAATGTGACCTAAATTTATTTTTCCACCTCTTAACTCTTTATTATTTTCATATATATATGTTCCTATGAAAAGTTCGTGTGTGTGATCAGATTGTTCGAAATGTGTTGCGCAAATACAGCATTACACGTATCAGACAAATTACATATTGCGATTGCTTTTTCTGTATTATAAATTACATATTAGAGTAGAAACATAGATGAGGCTCTAATTAAAAATTCAATCTTTCTTCTCCCAATCCTTTTGTCTTCTAAAAATATTTCTCACTAAATTTATGCCATAAATAACATAAGTGTTATAAAATCAAAAAAAATCCACTAACCTGCTAGAGTTGTCTCCAAGCTAGAACATACTCCTAATCGTTTACACAGTGCACGAATTACATCAAATGCTTGCGAGTAAAAGTGGGGCTTAAAATAAAAAAAATATTGAAAGAAAAACAGTTTTGATGGTGTTAGATAGTTGGAGGCAACCGGCAGGAAGCCTTGGACCTAGGTTTCGTGCTAGCTGGCACTCGTCAGCAACCTTGAAGGCCATGATGGCCAGCTAGCTAGAATGGTGGTCAGATTACAACCTGACTGATAGAATTCAGTCTACACCAATCAGAGGACTAGACGCATCACACTAGTTACTAGTGTCAAATCGAAAAACAGTTTTCTTCATTTAGCTGTTTGAAAATTTGTTTTTGTTTTGCAAATAGTGAAGTGATGAAGTGACATTATTATGAATTAATTACTTCAGAGAAACAGTTTGTGTTTCAAGGGTTTGTTCGTAAAGATTTGATCTGTTTCAAATTTGATCCTAGATTGATATTAGTCAGAGAACTAGTGAAAATCAGGAAGTCCTGAACAGCTGTTTCATTCTAGCCTGGAGTTTATTAGTAGTACTCAGCCACCGACTGAGATTCAAACCCACGACCCTCCGAATATGAGGAAAGTTCGTAGACCTTTCAGCTACTAGGACCCGACTCAGTGGCCAGCCTATGAATTCTGACTTCTTCTAGTTCGTGGTTTAAGCGCGACTGGCACCAGCCAATGATGTCGACGAGTATTCTTCCTGGCTCCCGACCTGAAAGGACCCAATCGGTCACGACTTCACACTAGAAAGAGCTCCAGTCAACTGCATCCTGCAGTCAGTCAGTAGCGAGCATGAGATTAGTTGTCAAGAGTTACTTTGTAAGGATTAGGATTTGATAACGGATTTACTTAGTTTATTGATTTTAGTTTATATTCCCTAAATGTAAAGTAATTTTTCAAAGGCATGTAGTTCCAATTAATTAAAATTGTCAACGTGGTAGAAAATGAAATGGTCTCCTTGGATGTCGTCTCTCTCTTCACCAAAGTTCCATTGACAGAAACCCTATGTTTCCTTTGTGACTGCATTCAATTCAATAGCATCGATGTCGGTATACCGATCCATTACCGGAATAAACTGTTACTACGATGCACCTTCAACGTATACTTTAGTTTCAACAAGGAAATAACCAGGCATGTAGATGGAGTAGCAATGGTTTCTCCCTTAGGACCGCTCCTAGCCGACTGTTTTATGACTAGTCTTGAAAAAAACCCGTTATCATCAACCATCAACGACCTCCATCTTTACAAGAGATACATCGATAACGCTTTCATTATTTGTGATGAGAATTTCGATCTGCAAAACCTACTTCAAATCTTCAATGACGCCCACCCAAACATCGACTTTACACTTGAGACTGAATCCAAAGGAATGTTACACATCCTAAACGTCTGTCTGACAAAAAATGCAAACAACTCTCTGAAAAGGTCCACATAAAAAAAGCCTACATGGAATAGGCAATTCATCAACTTTCAAAGCTTCGTGCCCCTAAGCAGAAAGAGGAACCTGATATACGCTTTCCTCGAGAATTCGGAAGACATGCAGCGAGGAAGTGATTGAGGAAGAACTGCGTAATCTTCGAAAAACCCTGATGGAAGACGGTTTTCCGCCCAGGTTCATAGACAAGAATCCCAAATCAAAGAAGACTTCCGAAGAAGTCCAATCCGTTCCAAAGAAAATACTTCTACTTAATCTAGAATTCAAAGTGCCATGGAAGCAGAAACCCTTCGTAAACACCTCTGCAGATTCCTGAGGAAAACAAACATCGCTGAAAGCCTACGACTGACGTTTTCCTGCAAGAAACTGTTCAGCCAGAACGCGAAAGACAAGCTGTCACATTGTGCCAATTCAACTTGCATATACCAGTTTACTTACTCTTGGGGAGCTGAGTACATCGGCCATACTATGCGCCGACTTGCAAAGCGCGCTCGTGAACACTATTCAGCCTGGTAATAAAAGGAGAACGAAAAGGTGTATATGGTTCAGTGACACAACATTTAATCAATTCAGAACATTGAGTGCCATCCGAAAAATCCTTCATAATAATATACAAGATCCGATCAAACGTATCAAAGGAGTGAAATTAAGACATCAAGGCATAGCCTAGGCACTAGCTAACCAACAGCTCAAACCATGCTTTGTATCCAAAAGAAATACGTCCAACCCCTGTCCCTGCCATGGTCATCATAAACAGGTAATTTTTTTAGTAATGACCATCCAGTTGCCTTTCTTATCCAAACTTCTTGTTTATTCATATTATTTTTAAGTTTTTATTAATCCCTATTTACACTACTATATTTTCACATCCCAACTTCCTGTCTATTTTGTCATTTTACTATTTCTACATATTTAATCCCTGATTTCATAAACAATTATTCGTCACATTAGTTATCATCCCACTAGATTTTTTATCCAAACATCCTGTCTATTTTTGTTATTTCTACATTTCCAACCCCCAGTGCACAATATGTCAATCTTCTCAGAAACTATGATGCTATTTTGTCTGAGCTTTATCCGTCCCCCAACTGTTTATTATGGCATTTTAATTCTTAATTGTAATTTTATTAATTTAACCCATAACCTTCCCATCCATTTGTTATAAATACACGAATGTACAGCCTAGTTAATGACTTCATCGAAAAGAAAATTTTCTTCGTTGCAACTGTCTTCTGCATAATCTAGATTCATTTCTCAAAATGATTTATTGACCTATTCACCGATTCTTTTAGATAAGCGCACAATATTTAGCACTTTTTCATTTCACATGAATCATGTTAACATTAAATCAGAGATATGACTATAACTTTTTTATTACATTATTAAAGAAAAGTTAATACTTACTTCACTGATATTTGGTTGCTTTTCAAAGGCTTTTAAAACAAAAGCATCAAAGTTTTGCGGATCCGGTGGACATTTTGATTGATTACCTGCCGAATGTATGGCATCATCGAACGCATTCCATACTTCAGTACAGTTTATACTTTGATAATGTAAAAGAAAGTTGAATTCCAAAAATCATTTAAATATGCGACAGATTTTGCTCGAAAAAAAAATATATAAATAGATGAATCATCAGGGTTCGAGTCCTGACTTTCAAAACGATTAGATATCATCATTCGTATATGTACTGGAAACCACCAGCTATATGGAACTATAATTAACAAAAACATCTGCACAACTTGACATTAATGGAAAGCTTTTAAATAAGGAAGAGGTATTTTTCCCAGTGAAGCCGAACACACTTTGCTGACATAACACAACTGGCGGAGTATTGAATACTATAAGGAATGCAGAAATTCTGACAAAAACTGATCATGTACTTTTCAACATATTTAACAGTCAGACAGATCCTTGGAATTCACGAGACCTAACATATATATATATATATAAACTGTCGGTGGTGCAGCAGTGGAATGGTCTAACAACTGCTCACTTTCTCCGAGGTTCGATTCCGGCCGGCGTACTCCTGTACCTTGCTGAGCTGGTCGTAAGGCCGGTAAAGAGGGAATGTTGAGCATGCGGTCAGCAACCCTATCCCGTAAAATAAAACCACTGCAACTGAAACTTCAAAGCTCTAGCTTGAAGCCCTATGTTCTACTGGAAACTCAAAGGAATAGAAAGAAATAATAAACAATACTATTTTCTGCTGTATATTTTTTTGCGGATATCAGACATAAACATTGAGGTAAACCAACTACTTAAAAGAATGAAAGTAGTAAACATTTTTCATTTTTACTTTGACAGTAAAATTAAACACGCTATTACTTGCAATAATATATCCGAGTTAGATAATGGTTATCTGGAAAACTTTACCACTTGTCACAGTAAAGAAAGACCACCTGTTGAAAAGACAGCTTCTGTATCAAAGAAAGCTATCCTTTTTTAACCTACCATTCAAGAGTGACCAGAATATGCAGTTGACAGCCCAAAGACTTCGGTCAGCCATCAAACGCACATTCTACGCCATACCTCTACTTCTCACTTGCCGAACATTTTCGATCCTTGTACCTAAGATTAAAGGACGAAATTCTGTGGACTCTACTTCAAACTGTATCTACACGTTCACCTGCAGCTGCAGTGACACCTAAATAGGTAGAGCCAACAGAATGTTCCAATGTCGTCTAAAAGAATATGTCCCAAAATGACTACTAAATCATATGGAAAATTCCAACGCGATTAATCTGAATAGAAATCCAGCATTATCCATTGCAAAACGCTTATTAATATCACGTCACAAAATCAATATTAATAACTTTTTTATTCCTTCACGTTCCCAGTGGAACATAGGGCTTCAACCTAAAGGCTTGAAGTTTCTGTAGCAGTATTTATTTTTACAGGATGGAGTTGCTAGCCTCATGCCCAACCTTTCCTCTTTACCAGCATTATTTCTGGCTTAGCAAGGTAAATGAGTGCGTCGGTGGCCGGGGATCGAACCGCGGACCATGTGCATGGTCGGCCAGCGTCCTAACCGCTATGCCACCGACGCAATATTAATGAATGCTTCACAATTATTTCACATAACTCTTCAAGTTTGTTGAAGGTGATGAGAGCAATTTGGAGCAATCACATACAGCCTAAACTGCGCGTACAAAAGACAACAGACTTCAATCTTCGCCTACACTGAACTACATGACCCACATAAATATGATATTTCATTAATATGTATTTTTGTTTTTTATTTAACCTCACCAGATTACTACCTTGCTAGGCTACTAGCTTTCTAGTTTTCTAGTCGGTCCCAAGCCCGGGTAAAGAGGGAGGGTTGGGGCGTGGTGCTAGCAACTCCACCCCTGTAAAACAACCAAATCGCTACAGAAACTTCAACGAATAAATATATTAAAAATTCTAAAAACTAAACAATAATCTAATTTTTTGCTGGAATCGGGAGGTGAAATGACGCAGGCTGGTGAAAGCCTTCGGGAAGCCAGTCAGCCGATGTGCCTTCTTTCGATGAAAGCAAAAGTAAGGATGGGTACCTGGAATGTTTGCACAATGTACGAAACTGGAAAGGCTGCCCAGATAGCCGCTGAAATGAGAAGGTACAGAATAGAAGTGTTGGGAATCTGCGAAAGCAGATGGAACGGAACTGGAAGGTGCCAACTACCTACTGGAGAGACAGTAATCTTTTCCGGCCACCCAGAGGACAACCACGAGCACACCGAGGGAGTGGCCATCATGATGTCACCAACAGCAAGCAAAGCTCTCATGCAGTGGGAACCAATCTCCTCCAGGATAATGACAGCCAGGTTCAACTCAAAAGGAAGGAAAGTTACAGTCATTCAATGCTATGCGCCTACAAACGTCTCAGAACAAGAAAAGAAGGAGGCGTTCTACAGACAACTACAAGCAATAATGGACAACGTCCCAAATGGCGATATCAAAATCCTGATGGGCGACATGAATGCGAAGCTGGGAGCAGACAACACAGGAAGAGAACTCACCATGGGTCGAGAGGCCCTCGGCGAAATGAACGACAATGGTGAACTCTTCTCAGACTTCTGCGCCTTCAATGATTTGGTGATTGGTAGCAGTGTGTTCAAACACAAGGATATACACAAGACGACATGGATTTCACCAGATGGAAACACCAAAACCAAATAGACTTCAATTCAATTTCAAGAAAGTGGAGACGGAGCCTACTGGACACAAGGTCGAGGAGAGGAGCAGATGTGGGTTCAGACCACTATCTAGTACAAGGGACTTTCAAGGTGAAACTAAAAGCCTCGAGGATAGCTGGGGATAGGCCACAATGCAAGTTCAACACTCAAACTGAAGGACACAACCACAAAGACACTTTCACTGCAACTGTCAGAGCAAAGCAGGAAACACTACGCGACATCACTGAAGAATCATGCGTGGAAGAACATTGGAAGTCTCTGAAGGCGATTCTCAACGAAACGTGTTCAACGGTTCTAGGAAGAAAGAAGAGACAAGACAAGGAATGGCTCTCAACGGACACTTGGAAATTAATAGAAGAGAGGAGAATGGTGAAAGAGAAAATGATTCAATGCAAGGACGGACAGGAGAAGGAGACGCTAAGCTCAATTTGGACAAAGAAGTGAAGAAAAGTGCTAGGAAGGACAAAAGACAATTCTACGACAACCTCGCCACTTGAGGACTTAAGGACACTATATCAGATAACCAAATCTCTATCCGGGAAGAGATCAACACAAGTGAAACCTATAAAAGACAGCCAAGGGAACCCAATTACTAAAGAAGAAAAACAGATTAAACAATGGGCGGATCACTTCAAAGGACTCTTGAACGGACCACCACCTGCAACCCGTCCAGAAATACCAACAACAGCACGTACACAACTGCAAGTTGACACCAATCCTTCAACGAGAGCTGAAGTCTTGAATGCAATCAAGTTTCTGAAAGCTGGAAAAGCAGCCGGACCAGATGGAATACCCCCTGAAGCACTGAAAGCAGGCCCAGAGACTACAGCAGACATGCTGACTCCATTATTGCAAAAGGTCTGGAAGGAGGGAAAGGTGCCTACTGACTGGAGGAAAGGTTACCTCGTGAAACTACCAAAGAAGGGCAACTTACGCCTCACTCTGCAAGAACTGGCGAGGAATCATGCTCCTGTCGACGCCAAGTAAAATCCTGAGTCGCATCATCCTGGAGAGAATAAAGGACGCACTGGATGCAGAACTCCGCCCAGAACAAGCTGGATTCAGGAAAGGCAAATCATGTTCTGACCAAATTGCAACTCTACGCATCATCATCACAGAACAAAGCATGGAATGGCAATCAAACCTCTACCTCAACTTTATAGACTTTGAGAAGGCCTTCGACAGCGTTGACCGTGAAGTAATTTAAAAATTACTCGAATACTACGGCGTACCCCAAATATTCATCAACCTTATTCAACAGCTGTACGACAACGGCACACATCAAGTGATCCACAACGGAAAACTCAGTGAGGTGTTTCAAGTAAATACGGGAGTCAGAAAAGGGTGCTTATTATCTATCACCAATAATATTCCTAATTGTGGTGAACTGACTGGATTATGCGTCAGACAGTGAGTGGGAAACGAGAAACAGCACAGGGATATCCTGGACTGACCGACGTGAAGAGCCCAGAAGACCTGGATTTCGCGCGTGGATGATTCATGTTTGATGTCACACGAAATCGAAGGCTTCCAGGCGAAAACCGACCGACAAACTGGTCGAAGAAGCAGCCGGCGAAGAGAGGACTCCATGTGAACATAGACAAGACGGAGGTGATGAAAATAACCAACCAACCAACAATATCGACAACAACATCCAGTGTCAATCACCATCAACGGGAGGGGTTTGAAAGAGGTTAGTTACTTCATTCACTTATCCAGCTAGGCAGCATTGTCTCAACTACAGGAAGTCGGAACGGACGAGGATGTCAAATCGAGCGAGAATCGGGAAGGCAGGCGAGAAATACATTCACTCATCAACCTGAAACAACCAATCTGGAAATCTTCGTCACTCAGCCAGTATCAACAACAAAATTTGGTCGGATTTTCAATACAAACGTCAAGTCAGTCAACTCTTTTATATGGATCAGAAACTTGGCGGGCGGGTCACAAAGAATATTTTCAACAGGCTATTGCAGACCTTTATCAACAACTAAATGTCTTTGCTCTATACTGAAGATCAGATGACCGGAAAGAATCACCAACAAGGAATTATGGGAGCAAACAAAGTTAGAACTAATCGCCCAAAAATATGCAGGAGAAAGTGGAGATGGATCGGTCACTCGCTGAGGAGGCCGGTTGGTGACATCACGCGCGTGTCAGGCCAATGCTCGAGTGGAACCCGAAAGGGAAGCACGCGGCGATTGGGACTTCATTGCGGTTGTGACATGGAGGAGATCGTGTGAAGAGGAGTTGAAAGAGTATGTACTAACATGGATGCAGGTGAAATGTAGAGCAGAAGGAAGACAGAAGTGATAAGTGTAGACGTGCAGCTGAAGCCCTATGTTCCACTAGGAACCCAAGGGAGCAATAATAATAATTTGTTTTTTATTTAACTGAGTAAGTGTCATGAACTTAATTTTATTATTGTTAACCATGTTAGTTGTAAAGCGGTTGTAAAGAAACTACGAAATATACCATCATATCGCGAAATTTGTCTTCTAAATGCCTTATTCAATAGAAAGCAGCTGTTGATAAGGAATACTTTAAATAGGGGAAAAACTTAAGGGAGATTGTAATGCAGAACATATTCTCATGTAGAGTTTTTAATTCTGGGAGATACAAAATGAATTGACTGACCATCTGGTTTCAAAACAGAACTTAGCACAAAACTGCCACACTTCGTGTATGTTACAAAGGAAGATAAAGGAGAGAAAGCAAGAGATTGAAAACGCCGATGATAAGGAAAAACCAGATGGAGAAAGGATTGTAACATGGGGAAACAACATGCTTCAATGGATATGGGGTGTCACAAAGGTTGACTGCATCTTCATCGATTGTTCGAGCCAGACCACAAATTATCTACAGTCTTCCCTGGTTTTCAGAATCACGAGGACCCTAATTAGACAAGCAGTCTACACCTCCCTACATGACTAACCTTCAGAGATTTCATGAAATGGTGTCATGTTTCCTCTTGATCATCGCTAGATCTTTTCCAACCTTGTTCTATGTCAACTAAAACTGAATGTATGACTGGAAGGCAAGGGCTAGGTTTACATAGCACATGTCCTGGTCATATCAACGTATGTGTGACATCACAAACTTTGTCAATTGACTTTTCCACCATACCTAAGACGCTACACTTAGCATGAATACTACTCATCGTGGAAGATAGAAACAAAATGAATTATCTACTCACGGGTTGGCTTCCACTTACTTTGAGCTTAGTAAGTTACTGACATCAAAATGTCATGATTCAATAGATATACGGCTAAAAATATCACTCCTTTCAAGACAGCATGAAGCAACAACAGTGAAGTTTATATTTTTGTGTAAATGGTCACGTTTAAATGTCTAAGAGACCCATGTATACACCAGCTGGACAGTATTTGGTGATGACATCATTTGAACTTTGTTCTGAAAGGTTCTTCTGCAGTTCAAGTCGTCATCTACACCATGTATTATAATTCTAAGAATACCTTTTAACCACAGCCTGCAACTGATAATCGCTTGATTGAACCAGCGCATTTACTCTAAATAACTTAGACCTCCGAAATACTCAATTTGCGAAGGAAATCCTTTTTTGTTTGCTTCTTGGCAAGCACTACCAACAAAAGATTACAGTCTAATCTCTGTATTGTAGAAAAGTAGTGTGGTTTATCTTGCAATATGTCATGAAAACTTGATGTTTCTACTCTATTTCTGTGCTTTTGTTGAGTCACAGCATATACTTTTATTACAACTGACTGAGTTGAATTCAGTTTACTTGATTGTTTGTTTGGGTGATCATTTTCCTTCGTTTCAACATTTCTTTTCGCTCCTATCCTCTACTCTTCAACGTTCCATCCCAAATATCACGAATAAATCCTGATTGTTACCAGACCACTGACTATCTTTTATTCACATTTGTTGTTCCTCGAATATACGCCTTTGGAGGTGAAATAATTTTTAAAGTATGATATGCATTTTCGCATTCACAGTAAATTTCGTCATTTTTAGCCTGTTAGCAGCTGATGAAAAGTCATGAAATAAAAAGAAAGGAGCTGCATTCATCCTGCTAATATGTTCTTTGCCTCTCTCTTTCTCTCTCTTTCTGTGCATAAACTAATCTAGAGAACAGGTGGTATGAAATCCCTAATCCTCCAATTTCATCGTATGCCATTTCGAATCAAACAAAAAATTATTCCCAATAAATAAAAAAGCAGCAAATTTAACACCAACAGAAAGAAATTCAATAGCTTACTCAGTGACTCCATGAGCTATAGTCCATTGAATACACCTTGCCTGAACTATATCAGAAAACAAATTTCTTCTGCCTTGTGAAGTGGTGACAAAAATCAAACATAAAAATACAATATAAACGTTCTTGGATATCATTTCAGTATATCAACGATGGTTGAAGTAAAATGTTGGGACTTTATATATATATATATGCATTCAAATAGTCATGCTTCTAAACATGAGTACTAGTTCAGAAAAGCTCAATCTATTATGCAATATTTGTCATGTGTTTGAACTTGACCTATAGACATTTTGAGTGATCTGGGGTTCTAAAAGCTAGGAAGAACGTGTCAGTTTTTGAACAAGTTATTTATAAATGTAAATAAGTAATTAAGCAACATTTAGCACTAGTATAGTTCAAAGATTAGTAAATAGGTCAACAAAATTTAAATTCACATGCAATATAATTTTCGTTTGAAACATCTGAAATCTGTTCATTGTGTGAATAATACCAGTGTTGAAAAATCAAGCTCCTTGCTAACAATTTTGACTTTAATGGAAAGATTTCTTGGATGGATTTCAATATCATCTTTGAAATAGACAAGATATAAGCGACCAAGAAACTTCAGAGGATTGAAATATTCCAGGGTATTTAACGCTAGTTGACTTATTTTCTATTACAAAGTCGCGTATTCATGGGCCATTGGATCGAGTCCCAGTGGCTTAATGGTCTACGAGCTAGCTCGCTTTGTAGCCCTAAGTTCGAGTCCCGGTGGATGCATACTGGTGAAGAGTTCTAAAACTAGACTGACGAAACAGCTGTCCAGTACTTCCTGGTCTTCTAGTGGTTCTGTCACTGATGTCAGCTCATGATGGAATACTCAGACCAATCAAGCAAAATCCCTACAAAAACTATTACCAAAACACAGAATTTAACTTTGCAAAATAAAATTGATTTAGAATGATGAGTGGAACAAGCGAAATAATACTGGGGACAATTCACAGTGAGAATAGTGATAGTAAAAATTGACGTAACAAAGGAAGAATATAGAAAGTGAATAGACAAAACGAAAAAACATTGGTAGAGCCAAAATATGATTAGGGATCACCATACTTTAGCATAGAAGGATTAAGATCATGAAAGTTGGAGGGGTTGGACGAAATTTTTGCTGCATACAAAGATTTGGCTTCTCTATTTCGATGGCCAAAGATTGCTTCAGCATTACAGACGAGCTGGGTATGTAGTGATTTGGATAAATTACTTTTTGGCTTGTAAATGACTTTAAAGGCGGAGGATGTAGAGATAAGGTGATCATTATCAGCCAGATGTTCAATGATCGAGCTTCTTATTGCTCCATCGTCACCTCTTGATAACCATGCAGGATAGGGTCCTTTCATCCTCTTGCATAAAACTCGAGTCGAATGACTGACATACGTAGCTCCACATGAACAGGAGAGTTGATAAACTCAAGTAGAGTTGGTCAACAGCGGGATCTTGTCCTTCAGGTTATTGAACAGTAGTGGTCGACTGGTAGTCTCAAAGATGCAGCAGGAGATGTTCTTTTCAGGGACTGTGAGACCCTTCTTTTAATAATATCGGAATCTAAGTCACCTTTGAATTCCAATCTCATGTACAGTATTTTCCTGGGTACGGATGATAAGTCACATTTCACAGGATTTCACGGTATATTCTTATCTGTAAAACTTGGTGGAAATTCACTTTCTATTAGGATATTTCTTAAAAGATTTAATTCATCCCCCACATCATCAGGAATACATATGCACCGAATACGAGCGACTGGCGACCGGATCAAGTTTCGTTTCCAACCAGTAGGTACCCAGCTGTAGACATTTGTCAGTTGACCATTCCATAACAGTTATAATAGAGGTTTTTGTATTTCCCAATGAATGAATGAAAAACAAAACGATATTGTTTTTACTGACGTTTCGCTATTTAATGCTAATAGCTTTCTCAAAGTATTATTAAACCGGAATTTACAAAATCTCAGCATATATATAACAAAGAGTTAGGGGGTGAGAAAAATATAGACTTAGTTCAACTTAAAAGGACATATTGAAAGTCAAAATAACAATGAAGATCGTTCAAACCAAATACCAAAGGTAATAGCATATCTGTTATTATATCAAAACAAAGTTTACTAACTTGATCATCGTTCGTTAGTCTGGGGTCATTTTTGGTTGTCAAGTTGGAGAATAGGTAAAGGTAACCAAACTAACTGTAGAGTGTGAAATATTTGATTATCGTTCGTCAGTCTGGGTCTAGTGTATAACCCTTTGGCGTTTGAAACTATGGGCACTGGGTTCGAGCCTCGGTGGGAACATCATCACTCACTGAGAAATGCAGGTACATCCAGATGACGAGTCCCAAATAGGACGAAATGCGCATCCTGGATTCCACTGCTAGCCACCATCCATCAATTGGGTAGTTTTTTGTTGTCAAATGACCCCAGACTAACGAACGATGATCAAGTTAGTAAACTTTGTTTTGATATAATAACAGATATGCTATTACCTTTGGTATTTGGTTTGAACGATCTTCATTGTTATTTTGACTTTCAATATGTCCTTTTAAGTTGAACTAGGTCTATATTTTTCTCACCCCCTAACTCTTTGTTATATATATGCTGAGATTTTGTAAATTCCGGTTTAATAATACTTTGAGAAAGCTATTAGCATTAAATAGCGAAACGTCAGTAAAAACAATATCGTTTTGTTTTTCATTCATTCATTGGGAAATACAAAAACCTCTATTATAATGAATATCATATACCGAATGCCCAAATTTTTTCAAACTGTTAAAAGTGAACTTAGTTTGGACATATATAACATTCCATAACAGTTTTGTATAAATCGATCTCTTCAGCGTTCCATCGGTCCTCCTTGTTAAAATCATATTGAGGCAATAAATGCGCTTTCCTGGTAGTTATTGTTTATGAAAACTAAAACGGAATTACTCAATTTTTACTTCAATGGCATTGTGCAAGAAAGTGAAATCTGCAATTATTTTCCTACTCAAATACGTTTTCACTATGATAGTGGATTACATATTTAAATTACATTTGAAAGAAACTGGTCAGATTTATTAATTTTCCTTAGATCTTCAAATTAATGTATCATTAGGCAATAAGAACAACCTAAAGGGTAGTTACTAAGGGCTGCGATCACACCAGTGATGTTGAGTGCATATCTTTCAAGGAATTACAGAACCTACACATTTCTCTGTTCTAAAGTACAATCACGAGTGTTTGCGGCAAAGGTGGAAAGTCTCACGTCAAGGCTAAAACTTTGTCTGATTGTGCTGATCTTCACTTCAAAGTTGGCCGTGTGCATCACATCTGTTGCGCAAGTGTAACTACGGTGAACGCGTCGATGCTGGAGCCCCCGTCTACCTGTCAGCTGTCCTCAATTACTTAGCCGCTGAAGGTCTTGAACTGACTGGTAATGCTGCACATGACAACAAGAAGACCTGTATCATCCCACGTCACTTGCAATAAGCCATCCGCAAAGATGAAGAGTTGAACTAACTGTTCGGTGGTGTGACCATCAGTTTATCACAACACCAGTATGAAGTCTGGGACCTAAGTGATGTGTGAATTTCATCCTGACCTCGTCTTTAAGTATCGTTTGGACAATGGATTGATAGAAAGCTTGGGTTGGGGTTAAGATAAGCATATGGGGTTAGGGTTAGGACAAGTAAGATTTTCTGATAAAACTGCAGCAAATGTTACGTAGTTTAGAAATATAACGCCACTAATTATTTGTACTTTTAAAACAATTAGTTGCCTTTATGAATTCAGATAAAGCAATAAGAAGACATAATTTGTCTGAATCGTGTAATGCGGTATTCGCGCAACACTTTTCGAACAATCTGATCACACACGGACTTGTCACAACAATGTTTATATATGAAATTAATAAAGAGGTAAGAGGTGAGAAAAATTGACTACTTGGGTCAAGTTAAAAGGACATATTCATGGTCAAAATAACAATGAAGACCATTAAACGAAATAGCAGAGGTAATAGTACATCTGCTATGGAATCAAAACAAAATTTACCAAGGAAGGTGGTTTAATGTGATGACTAATTGTTGTTTTGAACGCATAAAGGTGGCCTGAACTTTCTAATTGCTAGGGCTTCTACAAACCTTAGGATACGCCCCAAACACGTTTCATAGATAGGTTTCAAAGATCTGTTAACATCAATCTTATGACCTGTCTCTATAATATGTTTCTCAATAGGGGAGCTAGGTCTCCTGTTCTCACCGTTAATAGGTTCTGATGATTCCATTTGTTTCGAAAGCCATTTTGGAATATGTTCTGAAGCACTTACTTGCAGAGATTGATGAGTCCTCCCTATGAATATGTGTACACACGTACATTCCAATTGGTGAATACAGTGGGACTTAACGTCATTTTTCGCATGTTCGAATGGCTCAGATAGATATAATGGCTTTACATTCTCTATTATTATGATATTAGCTGCATAAAAAGTCTTTTTAACCACAGCAGCGTTTAGCCTTTGTCTAGTTATCAAGCTGCTTTGATGTCCCATACAGGGGAGCTTGATGTACACGTCTTTCTTAGGGGCGAGTTGGAGAGTGCGTCTTGGTGTTCTGACTACTTGATATCATCTCCTGATGAACTTGTCTGGGTAACTGTTATCAACCAGAGTTTGTGTCAACTTTCTTTCTTCTTCATCAAGCGTGTCTTCAGTCCATATTTGTTGGATTCTACTGAAGAAGCACCTTACTAAGGCTGTTTTGTACATGTATCAGACAAATTACGTCTTCTTATTGCTTTATCTAAATTATATGTACGTCGGAAAAACATTTTCAATGCAAAATTTCCTTTAAAAAGCATACAAATTGTATGGCTTGTCATTAAACTACCATAGCGACGGACTACAGCGCAACAGTTAGTGCAGTTGAGCCACTCGAGTAGAGTATTTCATCGTTCATATAGATGAAACCATTTCGACAGCTATGGAACTTGGAAGCTGATAACTTTCATTGTGATTGGGAAGTATTTCTCACTTATATCGCGGTAGAATATCGTCTTTAATTTGTTTCACTGTTATTGTGTTAATTTCCTTCATAAACAGAAGGCTATCCGTCCAAGGTCATTGGCGCGTCCGCACTACATTG